ATACACACACACACACACACACACACACACACACACACACACACACACACACACACAGTGGTGCCCAGTGTGTGGTCTATGATGATGCAGGTCACATCCACCAGAAGGCTTAAGAATGGGTCTCTAGACTGGACCTGTGTGGCTGGCCTCTGTGTTCAAATTCTCTGAGGCTCAGTTCCAGTGTCTGCAAGAGCTGGCTAATTAGTATATGCCAGTGACTCAGCCCAATCCCTCGCACACTGGTAAATGGCAGCATGATTATTAATAAAATCATTAATATTTACTCTAGATGAATTTTTAAAAAATACATAAAAGAGGAAGCATATTCCAGATGAATTAACAAAAACCATATTCAAAACAGCCTGCGACTGTTTCCAAATGAGTTTAGCGACTTACAAAAGACATCCATTAACATTTAAATGTGCCCAAATCAAAAATGCTAAAATCAGAGCTTCAAATGCTTTCTGAGCCACAAATTGTTTGGGAAGTGGAATTTGAGCCTCATCACGTTCTCCTCACGGGCCCTGGATGTTTCCCTCATAGAATCGATTTCCTCCCCCTGCCAGAGAGGAGGCGCAGGGACGGATGTGCTCAGCAGTCTGCAGGGCTGCTTGGGATTCTGCGGTTTCTCACCAGCCTCGCCTTGGATTTTACATCACCCAAAGACCAGCTAATAGGAGCCATCTCCAGGGACATTATCTGACCTCCTCCACCAGAGATCTAAGCACTCGGGGAATTTTCAGATGTTTAAAGTGTCAGGCACACCATTATCCGAGAAAATGGTTTTACCTAGCAATTTACCAACTTTTACAAAATCATTTTTCCAAACACCGACGGTGCTTTCTGAAGGAGCAAGATAAATATAGAAAACGGCAGAGATATCTAGACGTGCAGCAGCTTCCCAGACAGATTGCCACAAAATCTTTGTGATCTTGTCAAAGATAAATTAGGTAGAAATGGGCAAAATAGTTTTGTGAAAATAATTGTGTTTGGTGAGTTTTCAATGACATCAGAAACACTCCAGGTCTGATCCATATATATTTTTTTTTTTTTGGTTTTTCGAGACAGGGTTTCTCTGTGTAGCTTTGCGCCTTTTCCTGGAACTCACTTGGTAGCCCAGGCTGGCCTCGAACTCACAGAGATCCGCCTGGCTCTGCCTCCCGAGTGCTGGGATTAAAGGCGTGCGCCACCACCGCCCGGCGCTGATCCATATTTTAACACTCTGTTGTCACTAATTCTTTATGAGCAACTGAAACTTTATCAAACTGGTCATCCATCACTTTTAATTGCATCTTTGTTCGTGTGTGTGTGTGTGTGTGTGTGTGTGTGTGTGTGTGTGTGCGTGCGTGTGTTTTATTTATGTATATGTATGTATGTGTACCACAGAGTGCCTGGTGCCCGCAGAGGTCAAAAGAAGGCAACAGATTCCTGGAACTGGAGTTACAGATGGTTGTGAGAGCCACCACGTGGGTGCTGGGAACTGAACCTGGGTCCTCTGCAAGACAACACGCACTTTTAGCTGTTGAGCTGTCGTTTCTCCAGTTCCCCCACCCTTGTATCACTTTTTTTTTCAACTTCAAACCTGCAAGAACAGACTTTATTGGTCTGACAGTTTGGTTTCCCCAAACCCTGTAGCTCAATATCCGAGAATATGGAATGCACCACGTTGGGTCTGAGAGTCAGTTTTGCAGTGGAGAGTAGGGGTTGAATGGCCCCGCCTTCCCTAGGGTGTGATGGGGTTTCCAGAACTCCATGGTAGCAGCTTTCCTGAAGCCTTGGGCCTGTTTTATGGTCTGGTTTGGAGTTGGTTCTCTTTTATTCCAGACCCTTTATATATAAAGGATAGGGCATGTCACTTTCTATCTGGCTGCTTCCTGATGGCAGGGAGGGTACCATTGAAAAGTTTTGGGGTTCTGGAGTGACTATGAGAGAGGCATTGCTTTTACTTTGTGCTATGTGGGGGATGGAGTGATTCAATGCAAGAGGAACTTCTGTAAAAGTGTAAAAGACACGGTTAAAATGTAGGAATAAGGACAATAAGGGAGAATGGGGTGACCAAGGGGACGATCTGGGGGAGCCAGGACCCACCCAGAGGAGGAGGCTTGTATGTTGCTGAGTCCTAACAGCTCCCTCGAGGGAGGGGGTGAGAAGGCGTGGCATCAATGACACAGACACCGGGAGTCAGGTGAAAGGCAAACAACAGACTCGTTTATTCAGTAACGGGGAAGCCTTACATACCCACCTCCCAGCACCCAGGCTGTGCCCTGATCTGGTGACATTGCATAGTCACCCCTCATTGACTAGGCACAATCAGGACCTCTGACGGCACCTGTTGGTAGGCCCTCAGGCAGACTCCAGGGCGGCTCATAAGGAAGTCTGTTATGTGCATGCCTTGGCAACTGGTTTGAGCCAATTTTCTCGACTCTACAGGCCTGTACTACTATACTTGTGGACATTTTAGAGCATGGGTCCTAGCCCCCAACACTTTCTAGTAATGGTATTTGTGTATTAAAGGGAAAAATAAAAAGAAGGTAAATCAGTGTGAATGTTGAGAACTTTGAGAGGGTTCCTTTTACCTTGCTTTCCGTGTATTTACAGAGGGACAGCAACCCTGGGATCTGGGATCCGCTTAAAAATTTTAAATTACATAGTGAGTTGATTTCCATATCCTGACATGAAGAGTTAGGAGCCTGATTTTTCGGAATTACTAAGGATATTCACTTGTTAAATTAAAATAATTTACCTCCCCTGCAGCATTATATATAACTTTTAAACACATCTGTCTATAAATCTGTTTTTAGAGTTCTTATTTTCTCAATATAAATTCCTTATCATGGAATTATTAGTCAGAAGACAAACATTTTGTGCATTTGGTGTGTGTGTGTGTGTGTGTGTGTGTGTGTGTGTGTGTGTGTGTATTCAGGTGTATGTGCCTATGCATGTGCTAGAGGTCAATGTCAGTTTTTTCCTCAGTTTTACTCCTTACTTTTGAGATGATCCCTGAACCCAGAGCTCACTCATTGACTAGATGGGCTAGCCTGTGGACTCACAGAGCTCACTCATTGGCTAGATCGGCTGGCCCCTGTGGGCTCACAGAGCTCACTCATTGGCTGGATTGGCTGGCCTGTGAGTGATTAGGATCCCTGTCTCTGCCTTCCAGCATGAGGATTACAGACTGTCAATCACCACACTTTTTGCATGGCTGCTGGGATCAGAACTCAGGTACCTGTGCTTGCATGACAGGCCATCTGCTCAGACCCAACATGAACATGTTTTAAAGTGGTTTGTTTGTTTTGGGTTTCTGAGACAAGGTCTTAGTTCCCTAGATCAGGCTGGCCTGTACCCAGGTTGGCTTTGAACTCATGAGCCTCCTGGCTCAGTCTCCTGAGTACTGAGATTAACTCATTGCTATGTCCAGCCACTTAAAGATCTTTTTGTGCCTGTAATGTAACCTCTCTGAACTCAGTTTCCACATTATAAAGGGAGATATTGATCATAACCACCTTGTACCACAGTTGAGGGGATCTAGCCAGATCTTCTACTGTAAGGTTTTAGCAAAATAATTAAGGGTTCCTTGTTACTCATTCCATTCCATCCAGGCAGCTCCCATGCAGGCTCATCAGCTTTGTATTACTACAAGCTTGCCCAACAGAAAGGCAGAACGTTAATAAGTTCCCAGGTAGCCAGAGACTCTGACACTCACTGGCAATGGCTGGATTCTCCACCTATGGTTAGGTGCTGTCGTGATTTGCTCGGGCTGAAACAGAGCCGTTCTGCAAACAGCAAACCCGTGTCTGCTCTCTGCCACCCCACACCCAAAGGTCCAATGTTGTTGCTTTTTTTTTTTTTTTTTTTTTACTCTTTTGGCTCTTTTTTTTTTGGGGGGGGGGAGAGGGTGCCACCCCGCTCCCAAATAAATCTCACATGGAGGCTTATTCATTCTTATAACTGCCCAGCCTTAGCATGGCTTGTTTCTAGTCAGCTTTTCTTAACTTAAACTATCCTGTCTACCTTTTGCCTCTGGGCTTTTACCTTTCTCTTACTTCTGTATATCTTACTTTCACACTTACTTCATGGCTGACTATATGGCTGTATGGCTGGGTGGCTGGCCCCTAGTGTCCTCCTTTCCTTAATATCTTGCTCCTAGATCTTTTTCTTCCCAGATTTTTCCTTCTATTTATTCTCTCTGCCTGCCAGCCCCACCTATCTTTTCTCCTGTCTCGATATTGGCTGCTCAGCTCTTTATTAGACCAATCAGGTTTTTAGACAAGCAGAGTAACACAGCTTCACAGAGTTAAACAAATGTAACATAAAAGAATGCAACACATCTTTGCATCATTAAACAAATGTTCCACAGCATAAACAAATGTAACACATCTTAAATTAATATTCCACAATGGTCCAACACAACTTCGAGAAGTCTGATGCTCATTCAAATCTCTCAGCTCCAAGGAATTCTAGAGACAGACGAAGAATTTGGCTTCCTGAGTATGTTCCCAGAACATTACTACATTTATATTCATAGGCGTGAACACACAGCCACCATGGGTATTGTCAGCACAATCAACATCCAGTTTCAGGGAGACAGTCTCACAACTCAGGGTTCCCTGCCAGCCACTGCCTGGATCTGAACAGGGGACGTGAGAAACCAAGTCAGCTGATCCCTGAAGGCCATGGGCAGGGCTACAGTTGTCTGAACATAAACCCTCTGAGGGATAATGAGCTTCAAGCCACAACACAAAGCCAAGAAGAGAGAGTCTGGCAGTTAAATGAGGCCTGAGTGACTGGTGTGTGGAGGGACAGCTGGGGCTCATGAGGACACGCCCATTCCATCCTTAATTTGCATAAGGTAAAGATTGATCCTCTCTCATTAATCCAAATGTATGGCACATAGGTGATATTTAAAGGGCTCAATGGAGCATTTGATAGATAAACATTTTTCCTGATTAGTGCTCATTGACCTGGTGGCCCAAAGACGAAACCTTGCTCTCATTTCCTTCCTGTGTGAAGGCTGCCAAAGCAGCAGCAGAAAACTCGCCAGGCTGCAGCGCGTCTGCCGCGTCTGCCGCGTCTGCCGCTTGGGCCGCATCTGCCGCGTCTGCCGCGTCTGCCACGTCTGCCGCTTGGGCCGCTTGCTCACAAGGGCGACTGGAGGAGGATGAGGTAGGTGTCGTCTCTTTTATGAAACTGAACTTGTGGGGAACTTGGCAGATTTTACACTGCAATCTTATTTATGCAGAATGTCTTATTTGTTTAGGGAATGCCACCTCTGCTCCTTAGCTCCACAACTTCAACGGGTAAGAACTCTTTTAAACAATTTGAATGATAATATAGTTACATCATCATTGCCCCTTTCCCTTCACCCTTTCAAATTCGTGGCCTTTTTTTTTTCTTTGACTATTATTGCTACACACACATACACACACACACACACACACACACACACACACACACACACACACACACACTAGCAGGATGTGTCTATGTGGTGTTGCTTGTATGTACATTGTTTCAGGACTGACCACTTGGTATTGGATAAACAAATAGGGGGTTATCTCTGGGGAAGACCAATTCTCAGATTCCTTACTTGCCTGTAGTTCTTCGTCTAGGGATGGGGCCATGAGATTTCCCCTCCCCACATTAGCATGTCTGTTGGGGTTGTCATTGTTTGGGTCTTGTTTAGACTGCCATATTGTTTTGGTATCATGAATGTAGCTTCCTGTCATTTCTAGGAAATCAGATTTCCCAGTTCTCTGGCTCTTACAATCTTTTCGCTCTTCTTCCATGGTGTTCCCTGTACTGTGGGTGCAGGAATTGGGTTGCAGATGTATCTGTTGGGGCTGAGCAGTTCTGTGCATTTTGACCAGCTGTGATTTTTGGCAATGGTCTCTCCACCTAAGGTAAAGAGAAACTTCTTTGGTGAAGAGCGCTATTTATCTATGGGCATAAGGCAGGTAAGGATTTTTTTTTTTTTTTTAGTAACAGTTCTTAGTTTTCTATTCATAATAAACTTAATTTTACAATCCAGCTAGACTTGGAGGGCATAAAGCAAGCATGGAGTCCAAAGGACCACAAAGATAAGCTTAGGTGCAAAGAGCACAGAGATCACGGGATACCATGGGTAGACAGGGTGGGAGGTGTTCTCTGGACTGCAGAGGGATGACTTGGGGGTAAAGTGCACGGAAGTCCACAGTCAGCTCCACAGCTCCTGCAAAGCCCAGGTAAGGATTCTTAATCCCAATCACCTGTCAGGAAACACCCTGGCAGTTCATCTTCACTGTCAGCTGGATTTGGAATCGCCTAGGAGACACACTTCGGGGTGTGTGAGGGTGTACAGGAGAGGCTGAACTGAGGAGGGAGGACTCACCCCATCCCATGGGCTGGGGTCCTGGACTAAATAAAAAGGAGAAAGAGAGCTGAGCACCAGTGTTCAGGTCTGAAGGGCTCTCTGGCAGGGCCAAGCATCGCAGACAGGCTTTGCCCTTTCCCATCCCCTCTCCCTTGCTAACCATTAGATTACATTCCTAAGGAGAGCCCCCAAGGTCCATTCCCTTATTTGCTCAATGACATTCCTGAGACAAAACACCAAGGTCCAGCAACCAAAATTCATTATTTGGCTACACCAGCTAACCTGTCCAATCAGGACTTACCAACTCACCTTAGCCCAGACTTTCCCTTTTCTCCTTAAAAACCCCCTCCTAAACCAGGCAGTGGTGGCACACACCTATAATTCCAGTACTCAGGAGGCAAGAGTAGGTGGATCTCTGTGAGTTTGAAGCCAGCTTGGTCTACAGAACAAGTTTCAGGACAGCCAGGGCTACACAGAGGAACCATGTCCCGAAAAAAACAAACAAATCCCACTCCTGCCAACCCCCTGCTGCTTGCTGTCTGCCTTTGCCTGATCCAGAGATGCCCCCACCCACCCACTCCATCTCCACTTGCCCCTCCAGGGTAATCAGTCTCCTGTCTGCTGAGAATTTGGTGTCTGGGTACATCCTGTACTGACAAGCCAGGCCTCCATCCTCTGCATTGTCCTCAACATTCTTACCTTCTAAGTCCTACAGGACAGCTCACCAACCAAAGTCCCAAGTGAAAGGATGAATGGCGCTGGTTCGTCAGTGGAAAAGTCACGGGCCAAGGCTACCAGAGTTAGGAGGAGCTTTATTAGAAAGAAGAGGGGATAGGAGGGAGAAGCCAGGCCTGGCAGAAGGAACAGAGGAAGAATAGAGAGGAAACACAGGAAGGGGGGGTCTGAGTCCAGCTTTTTAAGGCAGGGACTGCTTGCCCACGAGGCGGGTACATTGCCCGCTCCCCACCTGATGGTGTAAGACGTTAGACCCAGAAGAGTGAGAGCAGGATCCTAACACCAAGTTCTTCTACAGACTTCCCAAAATAACACAGCCAGGTCATCACAGCGATAACCCACCGTCCTGGTACCAACCTGTCTTTGGATTTCTATTACGGTGATGAAACACCACGACCAAAGAGCAAGTAGTGGGAGAAAGGGTTTATGTGGCTTACGCTTCCACAGCACTGTCAGTCATCAAAGGAAGTCAGGGCAGGAACTCAAACAGAGTGGGAACCTGGAGGCTGGAGCTGACGCAGAGGCCATGGAGGGGTGCTGCTTACTGGCTTGTTCATTGTGTGTGGGGTGTTATGATATTGTAAGTGGGAGGTCCTAGCGCGTAGAGCCAAGGTGCCCCATGTCAGACAGAAATGCCATGCAGACAGCACTCAGTGAAGAGTTTTATTTGGTAGAGGGGAAGAGAGAGGGAAGAGAGAAAGAGGGAAAGAGAGATAGAAAGGCGAGGGGTGTGTACCTCACGGGAGGAAAGCAGGAGAGAGAGAAGGGGCGGAGATTTTCCTTTTACATGCAGGGCAGTGCCAAGGGAAGGATATCAAGTGGTGGATCAGAATACTAACAGTTGGGGGGCCAAAACAGCTTGACCACACAGCTGCCATGACAGGCTTACTGGCAGGTATCATTGGTCCCCAGGAAAAGCCATAAGCTGACCCCACCCAGGCAGGGCCAGCATCTAAGGGGAAATACCTGACTTTCCAAACATTCCAACCATTAGATAAGATCAACAAATGTCCCTGAGCCTAGCATAGACCTATTTCCCCTTTTTACCAAGATATCCCTAGACAAATGTCAGCCAGTCAGGGTCCTGAACCCTGGAAATCCCCTCACCCCAACCTCTACTATGATTAAAAAACCCACCCCGCCTAGGCTCGGGGCTCTCTGCTCTCACTGCTGTGTCAGGCAGACAGAGAGTCCAAGCTCAAGCTGAAATAAAGGCTCTTTGCTTTTACACATGGGATTCAGTCTCCATGGTGGTCTTTTGGGGAGTCCCAGTGATCTGGGCATAACAGTGGCCAGAACTACACCTGTGCTCAGGACAAACCCAAAGCCCACATGACTTGCTCATCTTGACTCATCAGAGGCATGAGTCACCACCATGGGTGTTCTTGAGAAGCAGAATTAATCAGGAGTCTGGGTTAAGGCACCAGGAATGGAGCATCAGAGCCAACCCAAAAGAATCTGCACAAACGTGGAAGCCAAGTACTTTATTTCTCCCCAGGGTCCATGTAGGAATCTGTCCATAAAACTCACTGGCCATGGAGCTGGGGTGATTGCTCAGCCTGACCATTTCCCCATCATCTTACACAGGTCTATCAAAAAGACTTCTTCAGGAATACACTTCCCCAGACTTCATTTCCATGTCAGCGAAAGTAGTTTCTTCCATCAAAATGGCCTTGCTTGTTCTCAAAACTATTTTGTCCCCAGTTGAATATAACATCTATTGATGCTCTAATCTCCCAAATTTGATGACTTAGCACAATAAACATTTTTTCCCTTCTAATTCTTTAGTCCAGTCATTTAGGCTGTGATCAGCAAGGCAGTTCTTCTGTTGGGTTTCTTCATGTGGCCAGTTGGGGTTGAGACTGAAGTAATCTGTCTCAAAACAAGATGCAAAGGACCTAGATTCTACCACGGGGGGAAGCAAAGGAGACACGCAGTTAGAAGTGGGAGAAGTCTGTGCCATTTCTGTAGTCTCGCTAGACCATGGAAATGCTGTGCCCCGAGTCTTCAATGTGCACACACACTCCTGGGAGCGTGTGACAATGAGGGACATCCCCACTCCTGCCACGCTAGGCTACTGCTGAGCTGCCAAATGATGGACAGGTCATTCTGAGAGTGGAGAGCTGCCAGCCAGTGAACTCGGAGACTGCACCCCAGGCCTGCTGTGACTGAACTTTGGTGGTCTGGGTCACATGTCTGCTGAAAATGCTTCTTGCCTGTTTGACTACATGGACTTGTGATCACAACAGGAAGGGTCATCAGATCTCAGTGTGAAAGCGTTGACTTTAACATCAACAAGTGCCGTCACTCCAGTGGATTTTAGACTTACTTTGTATATTTTTACATTTCCTGTATAGTTGGAATATATAGCTTAGGCCAGATGAATAGATAGTTCTCTGAGTCCAGGGCAGATGAAGCCTGGCAGATTGGATTCTATTGCTGTCTACTGTCAGACAGTAATGTCCCTCCCATCAGGGGCTGGGCATGCCTGTGTCAGAGACAGATAGGCTCAGGTAACAGAAACCTGGTGAAAGTCTGGGACTCCGGTCAGGAGGGACCAGGCAATGTTTCTTTCTGTCATGAAGCTTCATAGGATAATACAATTGCAAGTGTTAAGTGTGCGTCTACTTTCTGCCCAGTGCAGGAACACTCAGGTGTTTATAAATAAGTGCTCAATAGTTACATTATTATTTTTCTTGTGTTAACTCATGTGTGCGCTTACATGCGTGTGTACGTGCGTGCACGTGTGTGTGTGTGTGTGTGTGTGTGTGTGTGTGTGTGTGTGTGTGTGTGTGTGTGAAGGCTAGAGGTCAGCTTTGGGTGTTATCCCTCAGGCATCACTAACCTTGGTTCTTGAGACAGGGTCTCTCACTGGCCTGGAACTTGTCATTTCAGCTAGTCTGTCTGTCTGTCTGGCGAGCCCCGGGGGTCTGCCTGTCTCCACCTCTCCCCAGCGCTGGGATTACGACTGTGTGTCCACTCTTGGTTTGTTTGTTCATTTCGTTTTTAAGTTGTTGTTTTAACGCAGGGTTGGACACCAAACTCAAGTCCTCACACTTGCAGGACAAGCACGTCACCGACTAATCTCCCCAGCCTGGTTGGGTTGTTTGATTTTGGGTTTTCCTTTTAGACGTCACCAAAACATTTTGTTTTTGTCCTCATGGACACTGATCACCAGAGGAAAATTTAGTGCTTCTATAACAGTGCGGTATT